GCTTGATGAAATGATGAAAAAAATCAAGGGATCGGCTTGTTCGGGTAAGTTATCATTGCAAAAACCTCAGTCGCTCTTACTTTTGAATCCACCTGGCCTTCTCAGAGAGAAAAATGGATCCCGTTTAAGTACTTTATGGTTATATTTACCATCACTACTGTTAGTATTACTGCTATCAAAATTATTATTGTTACTTTTGTTTTTATCATTAAAACTCTGGTTGTTAGCCTTTATAAGCTCTAATCTACTTACATTGATGCTTACGGAAAAAATTTTCTCACATACGAGCGTCACAAAAAAAAACAACAATTCGTGTCATTTTCTAGGATAAAGGGGCTGGTTTTTCAAGTTCTCTATACTTTTAGCAATGTAGTTTGTAGGCAGGGTTGTAGGACTTTAATGCAGTGTTTTTTAAAATTAAAAAAAAATCAATATTTATAATTATTGTCATACAGTGATGCTTACGGGGAAACTTTTCTCATGTGCGAGTGTCACAAAATTAAGCTTTTGTCTTCATTTTGCAGAATAAAGAGGTTGGTTTTTCAAGACATGCCGTATCTTTGGATCAAAACAAATAGGGTAGACTATGAATGTAGCAACAACAATTTACGGAATTATTGTGTTGGCCTACCATACTGAAAATAAACTATCTTAAAGGGGGAACCTCTGTCTTTGCCCATTTCTTAAAGAAAGCCCCTGGTGGAGAGAAATCGTCCTTTCATCATCCAAACTGATTCGTAGAAATAAAAATTTGTCGGCATAAATGGAGATGAAGTATTTTGTGTGGAAAAAAAATTGAAACAGATATCAGTTATTTTAAATGTGGACTTTTTGAGCGTCGCCATGTTGAATCTCCTAACTCTCGAAGGTACGTTACAACAATCTCCGTATTATCCCCTGTGGACCACTGTGGACAAAATGCCATTGTTTAATGATAATAGCGGCAACCGAATGACGTCATTTAATCCAAAATGGCGCCTGCTGAGAAAGTCAGACATCGATATTGCTTTTATTTGTTTCCAGTTTCAAATGTCTGGTTCCTGGATCCCATGTTTTCGCCAAAATCATTGAAATGACATTTCCATCTATTTAATGCTAACTTATTCTACCAGTGGAGGTTTCCTTTTTGATCCCGTCTCTTACAATTTAAACTCAATGCTTCATCTTCTTGCCCACTTGCTTATCCACGCCCGCGCGCGGTATAAGGAATTCTTCTCGAGCTTGCAAACTGCACTGGACAAGTAGCCTAGCCTTCATAGCTTTTCATCCGCTCTTATCGGTCGTTAGGCGTTTACCAGTTGGTAATGGACGCTCGATTATGAGGTCACAAACAAATTTTCTCCGCTTTATGGATTTCTAAATTTTCTTAGTACTGGTGCTAAGTAAAGTCTTTAAACTATTAAGATATTCACGATTCTAAATTAAATTTCATTTTGGATTTTGCGACAAAAACAATCACCGTTCATGAAAACAATCCATGATGATACCATTTAAAATTAATAAGTCTAATCTAACCCTATTTGAATGCTAAAAAATCCAAAATCTTATTGACCTGCAGCTGGTTTGGAAAAACCTCAATGTCTTTTTCCTGCTACCATTATTTTACATATTTAAAACCAGTGACAATACCAAATCTCTTTCCAAATTTCATCTATTTTTAGCATGTTTATTTATCTTTATTTCATCTTCCTAGCATTTTAAGCATTTTAAGTATCAAAGCAAAGCAATTCCAAAAGCAAGCTTTGATTAACCTGAAATCTGAGAAGAATAATTTCTACACTAGTAATCTGACACATTGTAGGCAAACCCTATAACTGACTAACCTTATCTGATGAGAGAATGAAAGGCTACGAAGGAAATAAGTTAGCACAATTCAATTTTGTCTTCTAGCATTCTGTGATCTTTTTCCTAACAAATGGTAAAGTTTATAATAACGGTAAAGTTTATATTTAGCGACCACTTTTCTCCTGAATCGATCTACATCTGTTGATTCTTGCTCTTTTTATATTTCAAGCTTATTTTCACACAAACCCTGTTAAAATGATTCTTCCGGTTGACATAGTTTTAACCATGACTATTTTTGCTTTGCAAGTTAACTAGAAATTGTATTGTTTTCGAATAAAAACTAACTGGTATGATCTCCTGCCCAAGGCGTGGGCTGGTTATTCTCTGCTTGCTGGCTTCACATTTATTAGCCCAAGTGAAGACCGTGTAATGCCGAAGCATGCGCCCGTGGTACGCTGTACCAAGCCCTGGCATTCGAGTATGCGTAATGGCTAGATTTTTGCTGCCCGCAATGCAGTTTTTTGTGCATGCTTTAATAGAGCAACTTGTACGCACGGACGGAGAGGCGTGCGATAGCGCAGCACTGCGTGATCTTTTCCTCGAAACCCAACAATCACAACTTTTAAATCCTAGCCATTCACAGCTAGGCACGATGCTTCATAAGGTGACACCTATCCAGTTGACCTTCAAGGCATCGCTTGATAAAGACTAGCTGAATGCTACAACAAGTTTGTCAATCGTCGTGATACGCTCTCAGTTTCAATAGCGCTCTTTTTTTTTTACAGTGACACGACGAGATAGCATTATGTAGGTGATTAGAACTTTTGAGGATTTCCTTGAAACTTTGCAGGTGAGTTAACCTTGATCAGGTTCTCTTCTGGATACTTTTTTTTGATAATTTTGTTTTATCAACTGAGTTGATAATACGAATTGACCACTGTAAAGAGTTACTAAAGCTGGCGTTTTGAGCAGAGCTGATGGAAGAATTGTGCATGGGTTTTGTTTGGTTTATATACAAAAAAATGGAGTTACGCTATTGGTGGGAACATGGCAACGTGAAAAAAGAGAGCCGATTTGAAGGACACTTGAAGGCCGCAGACTATCATATGTTGCTAAGAACGATTTGGGAGATTAAAAGTGTCTAGCGATTGGTTTGAATTCCTTTCTACGCCACGAATGTGTTCTCAGAATCGGTCGCCTCGTCGTCTTCCTTTTTCGCCGATGTATAAATTTTTGTAACACGTTGTACAAGTTATGCAATGGATGACGTTGGCTGTATTACGCCATTCTGAAACAACTGACTTTTGTTATCGCAACAGTAAAAGAATCATGTTACGAATTAAGTAAATAAAAAGTGCTTAGTTTTCCGTTACATATACCCAATTTAGTGTGTTTTTCAGTGGATCTGGTAGTCTAAAGTTGCTGACGAATTCATTACCTATATTTGTCGGAGCTAGGTTATGAGCTGGGAGCATGGTTACAAGCTTAAAACATGGCTTCGTTCAGCTAGTTAGAAGGCATGAAATTAAATAACCGTACACCAGTTTTTACCAAAAGCATAAATAAAGTTCTCTTAAGTAAAATGATAAACATCATGAACAAATTACTTTTACTGGGATGAATTTTATTTATCCATCTGTGAGTATCATCAATATCATCTGCAGATAAAGAATGTCTTGAAAGTAAAACTACAATAGCCCTGCACCATTATACCCCTCTTGATGGGCGTCATGTTCTGCTTGTCAAACGTCTTTAGCCTGAAAAGTAAGTAAAAACAGCTCTGTTTAATTCACTCAAGGAAAGCTAGAACCGAAAAAATCCACAGAAGCAATTGTGTTTTATGCAGTGATTCCGGCTGATAACAATGATATATGAATTCTATTCCAGACCTAATCGTTTGCCCTTGCTCAACGTGCACAGTCAGGCATAAGAATGTGCTATATTCTATGTATTACATCACGTCAAAATACTCACGACATACAAATGTTATGAAAAATGGCCTGTGCTAAGCGTTAAGTAATTAAAACGGAGCGAAATGATAAATGGTATGATAGAAGCGGCAGAGTCAAAAAAGGGAGGAAGGTCTGGGTCGGTTCAGCTAACCCGGAACGGTACGGGTAATCCAGAAATGAAAGAAAAAATTGACGCTATCCAGTACTAAGCCCGCGAAATAAGCCGCGGAGTTAAAAAAAGAGGGATGTCTGGGTCGGTTCGGGTAACCCGGAAATGAAAGAAAAGATTTAGTTCATCCAGTTCTAAGCCCGCGAAAGAAGCGGCTTAATTAAAAAAGGAAGGGAGGTTTGGGTCGGTTCGGAACGGTTCGGGTAACCCGGACAAGTAAGAAGAAATTTGCTTTATCCAGTACTAAGCTCGCGAAAGAAGCAGCAGAGTTAAAAAGGGAGGGATTTCTGGATCGGTTCGGGTAACTCCTGAAATGAAAGAAAAAAATTTAGTTTATCCAGTACTAAGCCCGCGATAGAAGCAGCGAATTGAAAAATGGAAAAATGCTTGAGTCGGGTTACACGAACCCTCAAAAAGCTCCTCAACGTGATTAAAATGGGCATCAGTTTGTCGTGGGATTTTGCCGACAAATGATTCAATTTAGGCGTCTAAATACTCACCGGAACAAGCCAATCCTTTGATTGTGTCCAACATTTCGTCCAGCATACTGAAGTCCTCTACTTGCACCACTGGGTTACCTTCACCCGCAATTTCCCGTAAGGTTCCCTCCTTCACACCTGAACCAATCCCGACAGCAACAACACTGACGTCTTTCGCCTAAAACGAAGACCAAAATATGAAGTTAATCATCAGCTATTGTTACAACTCCAGTTGATTGAAAACCGCGCTTTGTGATTCCGAGAAATCGGTGTTTTATTCTTTGGTGAAATATATGTGGCTTATTTGAGCTGTTTCCGCGTCCGAAGTCAAATTTCTCAGCATATTTGAAGTTAATTTTCGAAAGAAAAACCGCAGTGGTGTAGGGATTCAAGTCGTTAATCAAAGCCTGACATAACTCGTTTGTCAAAACTAAAGCAATCAATGTTACCTTCGGTACTTGATTTCTCTACGTCCTAATTAGTTAAGTGAAAGAGCGAAGCAAAGGGGAGCACTTCAATTGTGTGTACTCAACAAAGTATTGCAAGTTTGTATATGAAGTATATTCATTCGTCTCACAATAAAACCTCTTCTGTTGTAGATCGCGACGTTACGATTTCATGCTAGTTTTCTTTAAGCGATAATGTCGACTGGGCACGCCGATACCCCTGTTATGCTTCTTGATCCTCTCTCATTGAGGTCCGAGTGCCGATTTAAACTTTGCCAGACTCAGAGAGAATCCCGTAAAAACCACGCTATCTTGTTTAGATGAGTCAACCACATCCAATAGCCGTTTTATGCATGATCGTAACGTAGTCTCCGAATTGAAAACGGTCCGTGTTCCTTATAGCTGCAGGCAGAGGGGAAGTTGTTCAGAAAGACCTGTGACATCTGACAAATCTGCCGTAGATTTGAACTCGATGGAGGCTAAACAAGAAGGCGTTGTTTACAGGATTCTTCAGTATCACTTGAAGAGAACTCACAGTTCACAGTCAGTTACAGTTGAAACGAAACGCTGCAATCCCTACTGGAAGTGACTACGTCGTGAGATGAATGACTATACTTTACATACAAGTGAATTCACCACTATGAATAACCGCATCCTAAGTTTAAAAATCTGTCTTCACTGACTCTGACGAAACCTTCTGAAAACAGTGTTCACACCCTAACGCTCCATTTCAGTTAAAGTTCTCGATGGAATTCAAATCAGTGTAGCCGGTGATGGTAGATATTACGCAGATTGACATATTCTACGTTTTATATGAAACAACCTGTTAACGTATCACAAAAAAAGAGAAAAATACTTCCTTATTTATTACAGGTTTTTCTCGAAATAAATCAATGTTGCTCTTTTTCAGTTGTGATTTCAATGCTTTGTCATACCTCTCGTACTCTTCTTATTATCAATGTCTTAACTTTCAGTTCAATTGGATTGAAAAATTAAACTCAATAAGTTCAAGTTTCCATTGTTTTACCCTTCCGTTCTTATCAATCAAGCCTCAACCTAGCCTATTTACACTCGCATTGAAATCCTTCGATATCTCTTTAGCAAATGCCTTGAAATCAAAGCCTTTTTTTGGATGAGTTGGTTTTCCATCTGTGAGTACAATCATGACATTTGGTTTGTCTGGTCTGTCTCCTCCT